CAGGCTGCCCAGGGAGGCTGTGGAGTCTCCTTCTCTGGAGATATTCCAGCCCCACCTGGACAAGGTCCTGTGCAGCCTGCTCTGGGTGACCCTGCTTGGGCAGGGGGGTTGGACTGGGTGACCCACAGAGGTCCCTTCCAACCCCTACTATTCTGTGATTCTGTGATTCTGTGATTTCTGATTTTTGTTTTGCGAAATACAGGTTTGGGGGAGGCTATAAAGGAATTTCTTGAGATGGAAACTGCAATGTAACAATAAGGAATTAAAAATTGTATCTTTATTAATACTGTGTTCTATTTTATCTTCTTGTTTTGATTCAGACTGTGAGATGAAAGGAGTTTACCTGAAATCTGTGCGTAGTCCAGCTCTTGGCAATAGGTACAAAATGGTTCATCGTGAATTCAACAACATGGCAATCTTCTCACAGGTATGGAATGAAACGAAGTGGCTGCTGTCCTCGTGAAACTCTGATGGTGCACGACCATCATTAGGTCCTAGTCCTGCTTTGAAGTGTCGTTTGCAGCCTATTGTTGATAGATAATTAGTTCTACCAAAAGACTTTTGACTTGATTTTTAAGCTAAAGTGTGCAGACACGTGTGCTTCGATGGAAGCATACACACTCCGTTCTTCAGGCAGAGAGAGGCTGTCAACCAGTCTGAAGCGAAAGCATCCCCGTCCCTGGTCTGCTCGCTGGAGAACGGTCACCGTTGTTGATCGGTGCAGGACTGCAGGGTGCTTCCAGGGTGAGAAGCTGGTCTCCCCCCCTCTGCTGTCTTCCACTGTCACTGAGGATACAGACTGCTGTCTGCTGAGGAAGAGTCCTCGCACCCAGGCTGTGATGTTTCCAGTCTCTTAACCAGCTCCCCAGTTTGGTGAACCATGCAACCCCCAAGCAGAGGTGTAACAGCTTGGGTGTATTCCTGTTACCCAGACAAGCAGCAGTGCCAGGAGATCAAATTTTCTCAAGCCAGTGGAAGGTTAGCTCCTGAAATGAGAGTTTAGAAACATTTACGAGACAATAAAGTAGCAAATTTGACAGTGCTCGTTGCTGCTCTGGCAGGGTGCCTCTCGCTGCCCAGTGTCCCCACTTGCTGGAGACTGACCCTTTACGTGGTCCCCAGATGCTGGGTGTGCCTGTGCCACGTGGGGTGACTCCCGAGTGTGGGTGACTCTCCAGAGCAGATCCTTAGCCAGGCTCGTGCCCCGTTACCTGCAGTTGTCGTTATGTGCTAATTCTGTCGACTCACAAAAGTGCCAGCGAAACATTGCTGGATTATCTTAACGGAGCTTCTTTCACAACGTTCCCTTCTCATCCTGCCTGCTCCCGGCTCTGTTCGCTTTCTGTCCCACCTGGCTGCGTTCCTCTGCCGTGTGAACGCTGCACGGTGCTCAGCTGAGATGTTCCCTACGTGGTCTGTCTCCTGGGTTCTGTTTTACTCCAGACTCTTTGGACATCATTTCTGCAGTAGTTTTTAGCTACTGAATTTTCCAAGGGAAACAGAATGGGAAAAATGGATGCTCAGGATGGTTCCTTATCTTCTCCCTCCCCCCAGTTTTTTTTCTGTATCCTATATTCCTGGTTTTTGTATCACCTTCAGCACAAGAAAATGGAGATCTATATTTGATGAGAAAGATAAATCACTTTTTTTTGTTAATACACAAAAATTCAAGTTGTGCTCAGTGATTCTTTGTGGGCAGATGGGAAGAACGCATGGGACTCCATTTCCGAGCAGCCTGGGCTTGGTGTGTCGCTTTTGTTGTTTCCCCCGAGGCAGAGCGTTGCTGAACATGCAAAGCTGGAACTTCCATTCCATTTTACACACTGTGAAGGCGTTACAAAGTGCTTCTGCCAGCAAGCCTTGTGTGTGTGCTGCGGGGTGCACTACGCCCCTAGTTCAAGCTGTGGAGTCTGCCTTTCTTCATGCAAATCCACAGCTTGTCCCAAGTTGAAGCGCGGCGGTTCAGAGCCCTCCCCCTGTGCAGAGAGACACCAGGGACATCCTCCTGTTCCACGGCAGGGTTGGCGTGAGCCTTGCTCCCAGTCCCACACTGCAGTTCGTGTTCCCCCTAAAAGCCTTCTGGGGACGCATCGTGAGCCTGACCGAAATCCGGGCGTGCGCTGGTGGCGGGCACAGCTGGCAGTGCGCGGGGCAGCGGCCGGGTGCTGCGGGGCCTGTCCCGCAGGGGAGGTGCAGAGAGCTGGGAGAAGCCCCTGGGCCCCGCCACGCTTGTGCGTGGGACGGGTTAGATAAGCAAAGTGTGTTTATGGAGAGGAGCAAAATCATTCCAGTGTTTCAAAACTTACTGGGTTTGGTTTTCCCCCCCCCACAGGTTCCTGAGCAAGACCAGACTTACGCAGAAGACAGTTTCTGTGTTGGAGAGGAAGAAGAGGAAACTTGCAAAAAAAGTGAATCTAGTGAGGAGGAAGTTTGCGTTAATTTTGACCTCCTCAATAATGAGAGTTTTACTAGTGGAAGAAAGCAATACCTCACTCGCCGCAGAAAAAAGTTAAACCAGGCCAGGATGGAAGAGAACTGCTCTGTCCCAGTGCAAAAGAAGAAACCATCCCGAATTATCGTTCTCAGTGATTCCAGCGGGGAAGAAACAAGTGTCAGCAGTGAGAAGCCCATGAAAACAGACTGTTGCTGGGCAGAACAGGAACATGCGAAGTTACCCAAGTCGTTGCCTTCAGCCTCTTCTGCACAGCACAAAAAAATGGCTGGGGAAATCGGGGGTCCTCAGTCTGCGGAGAGTAAGAGCGAGATGCTTCTCGGCTTGGAAGCTTCAGTATCTGATCTGCTGGATTTTCACCCGGAGCGTCGAGTCAGGAGCACGTGCGTTCCACCGGCTGTCACCGCTGCTGATCCGGGGAGAGAGGGGCTCCAGGCTCCCGCTGAGGTCGGTGTCAGTTCGAAACGCGGACCTTCCTCTCCCCTCACCTTTTGCTGAGGGATCCCACGTGGTGGGAACCTGTCCCGTGGCACTGTTGTCTGGAGGGCTGTCAGCAGCGCAGCAGCAAGAGCGAGTGTGCTGCTGGTGACGAAGGAGCTGCTCCGTCCTGCTTCTGCTGCTTGGCATTGTCTCCCTTTTCGTGGGTACAGGAAGCTTTTGTACTCGCAGGGTAACTTGGAGAGTATCGTAGCACTCAATAAATAACAGTGGTGGATTAGATACTATCTGGAGTCTGGCAATCATGGAGGAATAGGGATCTATATCCAATAGTAGGGTGTCCACTAATTCTTTGGGTTTTGTCCTTGTAAAATACTTGTTTGCTGTCCTAAATGAAGACCCTTCCTAGTCTGAGGTTGGATTCCTGAGCTCTTCTGCCTGACTTCTGTCATTTACAGTATTCAGTTCTTGCTGAACTCGTTAGTGAAGGCTGCATGCTTTTATCATTCAAGCTGCGAAATAATTAGATCAACTAATTTGGGAGATTGTTTATAGCGGATTAAAGCGTTGATCTGAAAGTGTTGACATTTGGCAATATCAAAAAATACAATTTTTTTTTAAGATTTTATGAACTGGAAAATTTGAAAAAAAAGGTGGCACAAAGTGTATCTGCTAAGCACCAGTATTTGAAAACAGTCTTTTTTTTGCTCCTGTGATCTCTTAGAAATACTGTGTGGTTTTCAGCATTTGCAGGGAGAAAGTTCTGTGAAGAACACCTGTAGGAGCACTTCAGGTCCACCTTGTCCTGCTTCCACAAACCCCTCTTCGGCTGCGGCTCCGTTTTCCCGTGACCGTCTGGAGCAAAAGCCTTCGCTCTGCGTCCTGGCAGACAGCCGTGAGATCTCCTCCGGAGCAGCGGTGATTTCTGCCCTGAAGGCAGTTCACGGAGTGAAGGTGCAGGTTTGCTCGCTGAGCAGCAGCGACTACGTCGTGAGCAACCGCATGGCAGTGGAGAGGAAATTGCTGTCGGAGCTGCTGAACTCTGTGAACAGGAGCAAAGTCGCCCAGCGGATCCAGCGCCTGCAGAGCATGTTTGAGAGAATCTGTGTGATTGTGGAAAAGGACAGGATTAAACCAGGTAGGTGTTCCCAGGCGGGGGCAGCGCGGGGACGCGCTGGTCCCTGCTCGAGGCTCACACCGGCCACGCTGGCCTGGTGTACAACATGGGACTGAAAGCAGCCTGAAGAGCCGTGTTTTCATCTCTGGGAGTATGACATTAATAAGGTCACCAGCCGAACGGTAACGCTTGTTTTGCCGTTGAGGGCCACTTAGTGTAGGCAGAGATACACAACTGGATCCAGAGGGATGCGTGGCTTGCTAATCACTGAGGCGGGGAAAAGCCAGCTAACTCAAACATCATTAACTGGCCGTGTTACTACGGGCAAAAAAACTCAGCTTCAAGACAGATTTCAACAAAGAAGGTGAAAATAGTGGAACAGAGGAACAAGCACAATCGTAGCTGTGCTTGGCACTGAAATAATAGTGGGCTCAAGAAGAACAGTGGTTTCTAGCAGTAACCTGACGAGTGGTATCTGTCGGACTATGGGGAAACGCTCACGGCTTAGGACCAGTGAGAATGGCAGCCGGCTGGAGCACGGTCCCACCTGTTCAGGCGACCTCCAGACCACGTCGTGGCTGCTGCCTAACAAGCAGGAGGTCATCGGCTGCGTGAAATCAGGTTTTGGAACAAGGCAGAAAGAGCGCTCCTGCACAGAGCCCCTTGGGAAGGCTGTGTTGGAGCTACGGCCTCGTGCCACAGAGCACCGAACAGAGGAGACTCCGAGTCGCCTCCTGACTTGGTTAAACATTTGTGGGAAATTCAAGGGTATTTCTTTGACTTATATAGTTTGGACAAGCCACGTGTTTTAATCCAAAGAGCCAAATTACGCAATCAAACCATTTCACTCATGCTGTCTATTCTCAGTGCCATCTAGAAACTCATTGCGAGGTTTCGCTTGGGCCTGCTTCACAGGAGGTGGAACTAGAGCTCACAGCCTCGATTCAACCACAGGTGGCGTGGGATATGGAACTCCACAACCGAAATCCGATTGTTGTGGATGCAGCTTCGTTCTTGTGACATAAACCTAATTTATTGATGGTTTATTCATTTATAATTTAATGTAGAAACAATGATAGAATTGGTCACTGAAGATGTAGCTTCTCAGCAGGGGCTGTAGGTCAGTGGGTTGCACCTGAGCTGCGTTTTGACCCCGCTGCTGGAGGTGTCCTTCACTTTCATCATTTTTGTCCAGCTTTTCTCATTACCCTGTTTCCAGAGTGCTGCTGGTTTCTGGTCTGACACAGAGGCCAAGTGCATCCTTACTTTTGTAGCTTGACAAAACCCCTTCTGATTTCTTTGGTCGGTCCTGTTGTTCATCGCTTATGTGTTCTTCTCAGTCCCCTCTCCTAATGGCATTTAATCGGCATTTTCAGTTCTAATTCCTAAACTCTGCCTCTCAAATAACCGAGACCCCTTCTGCCTTTCTGTGAAATGTTTTCCCTCCTCGTGTCTTTGTCTGTGAGTTCTCGAAGCAGAGGATCTCCAAGCCATTCTGCTTTGCAAGTGATTCATAGTAGATGTTTCACAGTGATGTAGCACGTGGCTCTCGCTGAGTTGGCCGTGTTTTCACTCTGCAGGAGAAACGTCACGGTTCTTCCAGAGGACGCAGTACTACGACGGTGTGCTCTCAGCCTTGGTCCAGGCTGGGGTCCGAATCCTTTTCAGCTCTTGCCAAGAGGAAACCGCCGGTTTGCTCAAAGACCTGGCTTTGGTGGAGCAAAGGAAAAACGCCGCCATTCGCGTGCCGACGGAGGTGGAGGGTCACAGACGGGACATGCTCAACTTCTACTTGAGTATCCCGAACCTCAGCTACGTGGCGGCTCTCAACATGTGCCACTACTTCGACTCTGTGAAGAGGATGGCCAACAGGTAACGGGGCAGGGGCCGTGCGGCCTGGCTTCCCTCCCGCTCCTCTGTCCCGCCCGGGAGCTCCTGCTGGGGCAGCTGCTCAGCTTTCCTCTCTGTGCATTTCTGTCACTGCCGGAGCTCCCCGGAGCTCTCCCGTCTCCACCTCGCTCCTGCCCCGCTCTTCATGCATTTCCCAGGCTCAAGCTGGGCAGACCAGGGCCGTGACGCGGGCTCTGCTGCCACCACCCCTCCTGCTGCCCTCCCTTTTCCTGTCCCCTTTCCTTGTCCCCTTCCACGGCATTCCCTGTTCTCACTGCAGAGCTCTCGGGCTCGCTCCGTCTGGCGCGCTGACAGCCCCCGGCAGCCCGGAGGGGCGACCGCCAGCA